CAAAATCTAATATAATACCTGCTCAGGACCAACATGCTTCTTCCCAATAATGCCTGTCCTGATGCTATTGTTTCTTAGCAACAAAGGAAGACTTTGAACAGAGTCAAATGAATTGAAATGATGAACTTTATGGTGAAGACCATACATCCCATTTTGGTGCTGAGGCAAACCTGCACACACGTTAATAAACATATTAATGTTAAGCATGGGGGATGAGATGGGAAGAGGGTTTAGGCCATCTATGGGAATTTGATTGTACGTACACTGTCTCAGTGTCTTTTAAGGGATCTCATTGCTTTATTGAGTTGTTTTAGGGATAAGGGAGGGATTTGTTAAACTTTAGACAATTTTAGGATGGGAAATTTCAGGAAATATTGAAATCACCACCATCCATCCCTGAACGATATCAGTTGCATTAGCACAGGCAGCCCACACCTTGAAATATTCATTTCAAGAAAACTCCAAACAAAGCAAAAAAAATACAAGGGTGCACTTTAATTGCTTGATTCATGGTCACACACGATTTGAATTTGTGGGTTTCCTGTTGTACTACATCTAATCATGATCTCTTGCCTCGTGGGAACCTTGTASGTTGCTCACCTGTTCCCAGTGCTTCTCTGCTCCCTTGTTTTCAAAATGGGGGACAKAGATTTTGATAAAAGCGAGCAGAAAAGCCCTGGAAACGAGGTTGGGTTKCTCACCAATCTGTGAGTTTTTTCCATGAATAATTCAAAGTTGGGCTGCCTGTGGTAGTAGTGGAAGTCACAAGTTTCGTTCAGAGTTAGTTGTTTTTGACAAGACCTGCCTAGCACATAACTAGACATTAAACATAAACTATGTTAGTTCCTTGTGATATGCGTTAGGCTTGACCGACATAGATGTGCGCATGGTCGATAATTGCGTTTCAAATCGCGTAACTCGAAGCGCGTAACTCGAAGATACCCGCTCTCAGAAATGTCAGTGATACACAATATAAAAAGTTTACGAAATATGCAAAATGAGATTCTAGATTTATTTTAGGAATTTTTTAGAAAAGTACATTGACTTTTTTGCTAAAAGCTTACAAACTTACTAMAAATTTTGTGGTTTCCAGCTTGACGTTTTTACGCGGGATCCAAACGTGTCGCGTGACCTGCGTAATATTTTCGGTCCTGTTTTCGCATATGATTGTCATATTAAAGCTTTTATCATGGAGATAGCTCTTTATCTCTTAGACTTATAAGTTAACTATGTAGCTACCAAATACATTACCTGTGAGAATTGCCGATCGACTGGGCGAACAACTGCTGACAGAAGTGAAAGCATTTCTGAACACAACACTTCGTCTTGCAAACTCGTTCAAGTTTGGAGTCTTGCAAACTGAATTGTTATAAACTTGACTTTCGAAGCCAGCATCATCCCCAATTATGACAAGAACATTTCTACGCTCAGCAAGAGACTCAAACTTTCCTTTGCAATTAAATAAGGCAATAAAAATTACTCCCAATCT